TAACCTCGGTGGTATGAATTTCACTTAAGAGGTACAAGTGGAATCTGGGTGAATTAAATTAATACACAAGGTTAGGTCGGTATTGATTTTGCAGACACCATCCGACCGAATCCTTAAGAACGCTTATGAATTCCAAACCACAGTTGGCCGTAATCCAGCATGGAAATTATCTATGCAATATGCATACTGCAGTATTGTACAGCCGTTCTAGGAACGTACCCAACTAATATTTGTGGAAATCCAAAAACAATGTATACAAAGTAAGTACCTCTCCCATTTCATTCTTGTGTATACATAAAAAACACAATGAAGCAATTGGACGTTCCAATATTATTGGTTAGACTTTTTTCTCTTCTTCGAAAAACCCATTAAAAATTTAAGGCGCTGTGGAATATTTCTTTTTATAACCTAAAGCGTTTTTTAACGATCACAACATTATAGTTTATATATTTTTTAAGTCACATAAATGACATGATTCAGAAAAGGACTTATCCATTATTCAATATAACAATATATGATACTGTATGGCTATCTCAACGCAACGGAATTATGAAAAATCATTGCTAATCAACTCTCATGTGCCAAAATAAGATAATATATTATATCGTGCTCAATTAATACTTTCCGATAATTATCATAATTGGCGCCATTCTCAAACGTTACTCGTTCAAATGTTCATAATATATGCGTGGTCGCATATTATGCTTGAAATAATAATACACAATACAAGTGCAATGTATAATGGACACTTTACAGTGATGTTTCCTTGATATATATATATATATATATCACTTTTAGCTTATTGTGAAATAATGTGGAAACATAATTAATATCGAACATTTATCAAACAGAAAAAATAATAATATGAAAAGAGGTTTTATAATAGTTTTTTTTTATTTTTATAAAACGTCATTTTTTTAGTATTTAATAATATTGTACCTATTATTGTTATCAAACGTTACAGCCCAATGAATCCCCCATTCAGATTTATTATGCTAATAATATTTAGGGTATAGTACAGGCCCTTCGCCGAGACCGTTGTCGTCTCGCCCTTTGGTTTGTTTTCATGCTCAAGTTAATATTGTTCGAGTACACTCTGTAAATCATCGCCAAATACATAATAATATAATATCGCCAACGTTTATTTTTACTATCTAATATTAACTTTATTGCCGGAAATCCGCCTTTTTTAATATTGATTTTGTCTGCGGATAATAATGTCAAAACATTTTGTTTACTGAAACTCAATACCGTTTTATAAATACAAAATATAATATAACGACAAAAGAGCAATAGCGGCTAATTTTCTTTACATACATCCACAAAGCAACGTTTGCTCACAAGAAATAAACAAATATATTTTATTAGAAAATAAAACCGAAAGCTATTAAATGGGTCTTATTTAATATATCATACTAGAAATAATAACACCACCCTTTTGTACAGAATGCAAAATAAAACACCGGCTTGTAAAACAAAAAAAATAGTACACTATTGTATTTAAAATATTTATTATTAATTCACATAAGTTCAGGGGAAAGTTTTCTTTGGGGTTGTTTGATGGTTCGCTCGGTAAAGCCCACAGTGGATCATAACAAAATAATATTATAAGCTTTGCTCATAAAATAGTTTTCCGCTACACCGAAAATTCCTCAGTCGATTTAAAAAAGAAAATGAAAAAGAAAAACACAAAAAACAAAGTCGTGGAGTGAAATTAATTTTCAAGTCCAAAAAGCAAGTTGTTATTAATAAATTATGCATAAAAAAAGATTTACTGTTGAAACAATGCAATGAGTACTTTAAGTTTGTTTTAAAGTAAACGTTAAAATGTAATATTTATTTCTTAAGTCGTTTTGAAGATATTTAAAATTGTCCATAATATTATATTATTCGGTTAGCAGCGCTAAAGCATAGACATTAGCAATTTGTTATTAGTATGTTATGAAACGTTATCTGAAAACAAATTGTGTTAGTTTATCTTTTGAAGGATTTTTTTAGTTTTTAGTTTTCTTTGTATTCCGTTTAAATGGAATTTTGTTTTTTGTTATAAACGAAAACGGTTTTGATTTAATCTATTTCTCAATAAATAAAAAATATATATTAAAATTTGTCGTTTTATAATTTCTGCGAGTATCTGCTTTTAATACGAGTAAAATAATAATTGGATTAAAAATTTAAATCGATAATTTCTTCTCGGCCATGCGTAAAAGATTAAAATAAAATAAAATATATATGTAATATTATAATAAGATTATGCTCGCGACGAAGGAAATAATTATTAACTTTGATGTTTTGGAGATGACGTTGAAATAATTGACAAACTACGTTTGACATTATATATATATATATATATATATAAACGAAAAATCCCCCTTTCGAGAATATATTTTATAATAACGAACTTAAAAAGGAACTTTAGGGAGTTCATAATTAAGAATTTTCCAAGTTTCAAAGTGTTCGAACACCGCCTAAGCGTAGTTTGCTAAGTGAATTGAAATCGCTTTGCAATATTTCGGGTTATAATAATAATTAAGATGCAGACTCCTCGAATATTAACAGCTGGTATAGACAATATATATATATGTATATTTGACTTAAGCAAAATAGCGTGGGCCTCGCCAAAGGGTGTGTTCGGTAGGTGTAATGTTATTATGTGTAACTATCAGGTACCGTTCAAAGGCGCTAGTTTGTTGTACCGTTGTAGGTTGTGTTGTTGATTCGTTTGAAAAATAGCATTTTGCAGAATACGATAATAATCATAATATTATGATATTTTCACCCGCGCTGTGCTGTACGGTTTTCTCGTCGGGTAATGATTGTAATTTTTTTCTAAAAAAAAAAACTCTGTGCCCAGGAAAAGTGTGGGTCGTGTCCCCAGCGGTGGCCAGAAGTAACCGTCCCTAATTGAATTGGTGCCGGACAATTAAAACCGTGTCGAATATGCGACCCGCGTGCTAGTGACGATGAGACCCTCTGCTGTAATGAAGAAGACCGCTCCTCTCTGTCTGTCTCCGTGTGAGAGTGGATCGAAAAATATAGCTGCGACAAAGGACTAATAAAACGACGGTACACAAGGCGGCGGAGTGAGAGATAGCACTTAGGCCCCAAGCTCGCGTACGCGGTTGTCATCAACAACCACTGCCCGGGACAAAACCGTTGACCCGAAACAGCTGTCCGTTGATACCAAAGGCAAAACACCTTTGGTGACCTTAAATTAAATTATACCGTGGCGTGGTCCTACAGCAGCAGCTCTCTCTCTCTCAGGAAATCCTTCATTTGCGACCACCGTTTATCGTTTTATGCTCTGTCATCATATTATATTTCATAATATACAGCGGGTGATCCTTTTTCAGGGAACCACTCGACGTGGGTAAAATTATCACTAATTAACCGGTACACTCTCTGGAAATAATTACAGTACAAAAATCGACTACGGTATAGTGTGCGCATTACACTAAGTCTAAGACTCACTAGCACATCGAGCATATATTAATATTTGTTCGCCAGTATTTTGCAAAATACGCATCTGAGCGCCTCGATTAATAGCGCCAATCGATATAACTATACAGAACGTTGTGATATGATGATTTTCTTAACTATCTATGTCGGTCTTAATTATTGTTGTTGTGGTTTTTAAATGTGAATTAAATATTCCATATAAGGCAAAACGTTCGTTCAGCTCCGGCAATTACGATACGGATCGCCCTAGCCGGGTTTAATCGCATCCATGTAAATGTAGTAATAAACCAAGTTTGTTTACAGTTTTTAATGCGGATTAAGTTGGTCCAACGGTAAACATGTTTATTACCAAGTTGGCGCATTGCCATTTGGATTTTCATTGTTAATCCCCGAATGATACATTGTATACTCAATTGGAGGAATCCGATTAAAATATATTTGATTCCGCATCGAGCTAGTGCACATTAAAATTTATGGCTTTATATAATGATAATAATAATATGTGTTTATTCTATCTTCACAATTACAAATTAAAAATTAGGTAGACTTTATATTACAATGAATTTCCTCATAAGCTAATTGATGTGCAAGAAGAAGAGTGGGAAACTAATCTAAAGTTTTTAAATAAAACTATATACGCTTTTTAATATTTAAAGTCATATTTCGCGTTACATATACTAACAATCATTAACGAGAAGACCTATTAAAATAATTTGTATACATTTTGAGTTTGATATAATTACTAATGTTCAAATTATGTATAGTGCAAAATGTCTTGTTAACGTATATTATGTAGGGTTGAATTTCTCAAATGCTGTTTTCGTTCGAACTAACTCGAATACTGTTCAAAAAGAGTAACTACACAATTATGTAATACATTTTCCGATTTTTCGCTTTTGCCTATACAAAACTCCTTAAGACCGCATGCAATTATAATAATCTATCATTAGCAGGCGCATTCGAGGTACCCTTACCCTTCTAAGTCTTCGGTGTCTTTGGTTTCTACGGGCTTCGACAAAGCTTTGAGTGTGTTCTCCTGGATTTTCAAGACATATAATATTTTACCACAGTTGTTCGCTTAACGGTTGTATTGTATTGATGATTGTTAATGCCTACAGCCGGAAATCGCAACCGTGCAATTGACACGCCCGGTCGTTACAAAGCAAACGGTTCCCGGGTTTCCCTCGATTTCCTCCAGGCTCTTTTAATCCCATACCAGTCAATACAGTTATAGGGGATTGGGCAAAACCCGTGTAATAATCGTGTACCGGCCATTGGTTGCTGTTGAAACCAAAAGTGAAATGACTTTAGTTTTTGGGAAACGACTCTTTGCCGAATTCGCCCACACTGAACCTATTTGCTTTACAAAAGATGATTATATCATATTATTCTGGGTTTGAGTTACTTTTACAGCAAATATATATATATATATATATTTATGTAGGTTTTAGTTGGTAATATTTATTGAAAACAATGTACCATATGTATTTTTTAATTGACCAATATGTTCTAAATATTAATATTCATATTAAATTTTACAGATTGACAAAAAAAAAAAAAAACAATAAACCGTCGGTTACTGAATTTGGCTTTACAGACTCAAGTTGAATAAACAAAAAAATTGTAAGTACTACACTGTGTTATATTCTAAAAAAACCAACAACATGTAAATACTATTATTAAAAATCATTTTTTTTTTTTTTTTTTGTAAATTATGATTATTATTTTTTTTCACATTACGCATTCTGAATCCGAGTAAAAAAGTAAAAAAATATTCAATTGAAAATGTTCATCTTATGTCGAATGTCGCATATTATATTATATATATATATATTATTATTATAGTTTTTTATTATTTGTCCTAAATTTTTTTTTTCATACGGCCAACAGCTGTCGAATTCACTTGTACATATTACATAATGTCCAGCGCTTTTGTACTCATGTAATTTATATATATTTTTTTTAAATCAATAGAAAATTTTGGTTTTTATATTTATTTTTTTGATATTATTTGTATCCAGAATGTCGGAAATGCGTTAAAACTATATGAACACATATTTTCATGTAATCAAATACAAAATAATATAACAAACGATTGCTGCGTTTACCTTTAGGGGTTTTACTATGGTATACTTAGCGATAGAGATTGATTTTGGTTAACATTTTGACATTGGTGACAATGGTAAAAAATTAGCAATAGTCGACAAATAAAACATATTATTATCATTTATCTTCACAAATAGCAATAGCTGTAGATAAGGTTGCTATGGTACATGGAAATCATTAACAATGAATTATAATATGTTGTATAGTGCAACAATATGCACTTCATTGAAGGTATTGCTTTTACAATGATATAATGTTTTTTTTTTTTCTATACCCGGATCCACGTTATTTTCTAAGCCGCTGAACCGAGCCGCTTTATACATAATATAGATAAAGTCCACACAAACTGTATGCGTGGCTTATACTTTAAGCACTAGTGGCATACAGTGAAAACCCCAGAGAAAAAAAACACCACAAAAAACTTTTCTCCCAGAAAGGTTTGAAACTGTTTTTGCTCTTTTAGCACAGTTTCGAGTCTTAAGTTTTGAACACTTTAAAGTGCGGGTATAAGACTTAGGGTGGATCTATAACATATAATATGATATTCTCAAAAATTTGTAGTCTAACATATTTTGTTTATTATAAAAAATAATAATAGGAAAATTACAACCGCACCGTTTATATAACTGTTACCAAAATAATATACTATTATTGGAAGACCATTATCCGTCCCAACGTTAAAAAAGTTAAGAGTTGGAATTATGCACTTCATGCAGATACATCAATGCATGGATATGTCCCGGAATCTAGTATCTCTAATCTATTATCTCTATTAATCCATCTCCATATTCCCACATTATCCCTTTTTGATTAGATTAGAGAAAAGAAATAAGAGATAAAAATATAACTAATATATTGGAGAAAAGAGATTGGAGATAAAAAAAAATATAATCGATTAGAGATGAGATATTAGGGATACTAGATTAGAGATAAAAATAGAGATACTGTATTAGAGAAATTAGATTCGAGATAATAATAGAGATAAAAGATAAAAAAGATAAGATATTAGAGATAATAGATTAGGGAAAAGAGATAAGAGATAAAAAAAAAAGATAATGTATTAGAGATAAGATATCAGGGATACTAGATTAGAGATACAAATAGATATGATGGATTAGAGACAATAGATTAGGGCAAAGAGATTATAGATAAAAACATAGATAATGTATTAGAAATGCTTGATTAGAGAAATTAGATTAGAGATACAAGATAAGAGTTAAATTATTGGAGATGAGAGATTAGAGGTTAGAGATAAGAAAAGTACCAAAAAGTTCCAAGGTCCTGTAGTTGAACGCAAAGACATAATAAACATGTGCCTATGTATCCCCGCTTGTAGTGTGGATACTGGTTAGTTTATTTTTTATTCATTCTATCACCGGATAAAGTGTTAATGATTTTAACTCGGTGCGTTTCGCGTGGACTGCGCCAACTCGACCATCGAAGGCGAAGACGGAGGCCAGTGAATTATTTCCGGTTATAGGTCCCTCGACAGAATTCCATGTATAGTTTAGGTACCCTTTTTATAGCGCGATCGCCAATTGCAGGCGGCGTTGCGGCTTGCGACTAAATGCCGGAACGTGATGTATACGCCAACGGGAAGGGCGGTTTTGTTTTTAGGGGAAAAACCCGAAGCTATATATATATGTATTCAATTTATATAAACGTACAAAAGGTAATAATGTGGGACGGAATTGGCGGTTGACAGCCAGAGAAATGTACACGCGTGAAATATTGTTTTTTTTTTTTTTAGATTTTTTTACCGTTCAAAACAGAAAAATATGAAACGACGGTATTTGCTCAAAATCGTATGCATATATTACAATAATATAAATTGCTTTCCACGTGAAAATCTAAAAAAAAATCTTGTACCGAAACAAACCTACAAACGTCCACTTGATAATATGTTTTTTCATGCTACAAAACGGGTATTATTGTGTTTGTGGTAACGACCGAACAAAAAGCACATCAGATTATTCTGAGTAGGAGAATTTTTGTAATTTTTTTAAACCGGTTAATAAATAAGACAGTGACATTTGTATCACACGTGAGACGGGTGTGTCATATTTCAAATCTGATGGTAACTGTGTGTCTGCTCTCATTTTGCTGTCGATGTTACTTTTCCGTTGATGAGCACTTTTTTTTAAAAAAAAAAACTGTCTTAATTATTGTGGTAATTACTTCGGAGATGGTGGTTTGGACTATGTGCTTTAAGGATGTGTGTAGGAATTTCAGTATTCTGTAAGTTTGGTATTGATTTTAGGTGACCAAAGCCAAGTGGGTGCAAGGATTTGTATCTTGTTTAGCGTTTTAGTAAATTACACAATATGTTCATTGTAGTTTATGAAGTTTTCACGGACAGTGTGAAGGCCAGGGTTATCATAATATTCTGTTGATAATGCGTTGTTGTGTAATAAGGCGGTTAAATTAGGTCGTTAATATTTTACTACAATATTATCATATTATAATACGCACAGCATAATTTTGTTACAGTTAATCACTGCAATGATTATATATTGGAATTCCACACAAAAATATGCTATATAATTCGAGTAGATTATATATTTTTTACTGGCTAGTTAAAAATAAAATAATATAAAATATCTTTAATACCGCCTTCGGCACTACACAAATATGTTACATATGGTAATATGCCTGAGTTGTATCATTGGGCGTTAGTACTGCTATGAAAGTTACATGGATCCAATATTGTACTTTTTACGTTGTAAAATGTGAAAAATAAAATAGGACTTTTTTTCAATTGGGTTTTCTCCGATGAAAATACATGTGATACACTATGATAATACACGTTTTCGTTCATTATATCTCCTTCGATTACATTTAATTTAAAAGACAATCTGTACATCAACCACTTATTTAACAATTTAATTGTTAACTACTTATTTTACTATTTATATAACAAACAACCGGTTAATAAACTGATAAATAAATCAGTTTGGCTTGGCTTTAAACAAACATTCGTAAATATTGTGTATTTAAACAATCTAATTATTTAAAACTCATTAATCAGTTAAAACAATTAGGGGCAGTAATTGTTTAATTCTTGAGGGTTATCCTAATATTGACATTTCCATCAATATCGTTATACAGTGTCCAAAATGGAACTAAATAATAATTGGAAATTAATTCTATTGTTGTACATTTTAATTCTTGTGTTTTTATGAATTGCGTCATCGACAATCGGACATTGGTTTTTTTTTTGTAGAGTTTCCTTTTCGATACATTTCTTGGACTGACAATATCAGTTTACTGACTTTGCTCGTATTGTACCATTTCGCATTCTCCATACTCACAACATGGTATTATAATATGATATTATAATGTACCGCGCATTGCAATTAACGTGATTATCCGGGTTACATTGAGTAAAATGGGTATTGCAGTACCTACCCTTTCTCTCTATCTATCTGTCCCTCTCTAATAGTATAATTGCCATCACGGGCTGTGTTTCGCTAAACTGCACACGAACGTGCCATATTATACGGCGGACAATCTAAATTAACGACCGAGACCAAAGGTATATCGCCATATCACATACAGAGGATTATTATTTTCATCGGGTTCAGGGCCTGCAGTGGAGATTTGGCCGGTTAGGTAATTCTGCCCGTCGAGGATTTTCAAAACAATTTACCTCCAACAAGGATTGAAACAACAACAATAAGCCTCGTTAACGTCTCAAGGACGTATAACAGACAAAACAATTATTGCAAACTATATATATATATATATATTATCAATCCGTGGCAGGTAACGAGTCCCTTGTGAGATGGTATCAAACGAGAGACGGTGTGGAACGCTAATCAATCAATTTCTGAAGCTCTGCTCACATCATTCGGTAAATAGCTAGGGTTTTTTTGTAAACCGACTCGGCTAAATATTTTATATTATCGTCTCCGGGATGAGATGGATTTGCTCTAGAAAGAACCCATTTGCTACAGCCCCTCTCTAATATGTAGTATAGTATACTATTGATGAGGCTGGGGAATAAAATAATACTAGTATTGTATTTGTTTTCTTTCTATTAATGTAATTGTTAAAAAAAAAAAAAACCCTATAGTATGTTATCCGTCTAAAACCTATTGGAAATCCGCTTACAGCATCTAATAGTAATAAAAAAAAAACACAATCTACTCCCCTCCTTTCCGTCTGAGCCGCCCCTTACAAACGGGAAAATTACTAGCTAGGAAAATAATAATTGTTTTCCGGCTTAAAGAAACGATTAATATTTAATATTAAAAAAGAAAACACAACGTGTATAAAAAAGAAATACAAGAAAATCATCTCTAAAACTCCTTATTTAAGTTTAATATACCTTAGGAAATATCGAAAAATATAAACTTAATATAATATATTTATATTAAAAACTTGGAATACCTATTTATGTGTAGAAAAGTACTCGAATTCCATCAACACAATAATTACACAAACAAGTATACTAAATTTAATTTACAAACGCAATTTTACCATAACACGGGTCATTACATTTTCGTTTAAATTAA